CTGCCGTCATCGACTACTACATCGCCAGCTCGCATCAGCCAGACAGGTCTCGAGACCGTTGTAAACGCAGCCTACCGACGCCTTCCTCGCCGCCATTGACCTTCTCCTGAGAGGATCCCGCGCCTCTCTTTGGCTCGCCTCAGTCAGTCAAGCGGTACGCTTTAACTCTATTACTGCCACCCTTCTGTCTTCCTCGCCGGGCCGGGATGGATACTTGACCCTCTCTCTCCTTTTTTTTTCTTTCTTTCTTACCTTTACCCTTCTTTCTCTCTCCGGCTTCCCCCTTTTTTTCTCTCGCCTTCCTCTCATATTCTCTCTTACATTCCTACCATAGCCGAAGCAGTTCAAGCAGCGCCAGTCAATACGTCTCCCCAGGGAGGGTTGCTTCGTGGTTTTGCCCCCTCGCTTATTCCTCCTCAGCCGGGGCTGCTCTGCATTGGCGTGATATGGATACTACAAGGCTTTGAAACGCCGAATATTCATCACCACAACTACAGTCAAATTACAAACACCCTACCACTCAATCCTCCAGCAGTTGGCGACGAGCATTAACTGTTTTTTTCTCTCCTCTCGGCTACTAGACCGGCTCCTCCGCGTCGCTGGACTCGTCGCCATGGCTTCAATCTTCTCAGACGAATTCCAGACGCCGCCGGACGGCGAGGCGTCTGGCCAGTCCTCTCCCCCTCTCACTCCTGGAATCGACGAAAATCAGCAAGATGGTCAGCAGAAGCTCAAAGGCCGCAAGAGGATCCTCAAGGGTATACAGCGGATAGCCTCCAGTCCCTCTCTGGTTAGGCTGGGCCGGGGTCGGTCTGCTTCAGAGGGGTCGCGACGCTTTCGAACTGGAGCATCCATGTCCTGCGTCTCCTTGACCTCCAATTGCTGGGATGACCCGAGCGTTTACGGCGATCTTTCAAACAGAAGATTCTCACCCGCTGTTTCTAGCGGTTGCTCCGGTGAGGACGATCACCATCAGCCGAGCCGGGTTGTTGGAACAGACAATACAGCTCACAATCCGACTTCTATTCCACTTCCGGCAGATCTACGGCCGTCATCTCGTGCAGTGATGCTAGATTCTACTGCGGAAGAAGACATTTTTGAGGATGCACTGCCAGTAAGGAAGATGTCCGTAGTGCGTCAGCGTCGGGATACATTTGTTCATCTACCTATGGAAGTCAGGATCAATATTCTCCAATATCTCAGCCCAAAAGAATTGTTTAGATGTTCCGTCGTGTCTAAGAGTTGGAACAAGATGTGCTTCGATGGTCAACTTTGGGCATGTCTAGATACCTCAACCTACTACCAGGAAATACCTCGATATGCCTTGCTCAAAGTGATTCTGGCTGCAGGGCCATTCTTGAGAAATCTAAGTCTCCGTGGCTGTGCTCAGCTGCTAGATATCTGGCGCACAGAGGGTGACCGCGTGACAAACCTGTGCCGAAACTTGGTGCAATTGAATATCGAAGACTGTTTAATGGACCCAGCCACGACCAACTGCTTCTTTACCCGTAACCCGCGATTGAGACATATTAACATGTGTGGCGTCTCTACCGCCACTAACTCCGCCATGGAAGCCATTGCTGAAAACTGCCCAATGCTAGAGTCTTTGAATATCTCATGGTGTGCAGGGATAGACACTAGGGGGCTCTCTAGCGTCGTAAAGTCTTGCACTCAACTTAAGGATCTACGAGTCACCCGCATTGTAGGATGGGACGACGAGCGTATTATGTCAGATTTATTCAAATCGAACTCGTTAGAGCGGCTTGTCCTCGCTGACTGCGCTTCCATGACCGATGCCAGCCTGAAAGCCCTCATCCAGGGTATCAACCCGGAAATCGACATCCTGACTGGCCGCCCAATGGTCCCTCCACGAAAACTCAAACATCTGAACCTTTCCAACTGTCGTCTTCTCACTGAAAATGGAGTCAAGATCCTTGCACACAACGTTCCAGAACTTGAGGGCCTGCATCTGTCCTTCCTTAGCACTTTGACAGATGATTGCATTGCATCTATCATCAACACAACCCCAAAACTACGGTTTATCGAATTGGAAGAACTCGGTGAACTAACAAACTTTGTCATCACGGAGCTGGCCAGAGCTGCATGCTCTCAAACCCTTGAACATTTGAACATCAGCTTCTGTGAAAATATTGGAGATACTGGAATCTTGCCCTTACTACGCAAATGCCCCAGTCTTCGTTCTCTTGACTTGGACAACACCCGCATCTCCGACCTCACCTTGATGGAAATTTGCTCTCAGATGCGAAAACGTGGCGTCGGACCTGAACTCTCAAAAATTGGTTTTCGTCTGGCGGTATTTGACTGTGGAAACGTAACTTGGGCTGGGGTCCGGGAAGTGCTTTCTAACAACTGCTCTGTTCCCTACATGTCTTACCCATCTTCTGGTGCACCAAAGCCAACTCGTTCATCCCCCTCTCCTCACTATTCTGATGATGGAGAGGAGGAAGATAGTGGAGAAGGAGTTGTTGAAGAGGATGATGACAGCTCTTCCACCATCTCCAGCGGCAGTTCTATCACTACCACGACTTCAGATTCTGACTCTGGATCATCAACCCCTTACCTACCGGCACTCTCTTCTCCCGTTCCACAGCCAACTCCCCGCCCAAACCTCTACCCAAAAGAAATTATTAGCCTCAAATGCTACTATGGATGGCAAAAGACCGTCGACGAACATACCAAGCGAGTCCTTCGCGGGAATCTCGCTTCCGCAATGCGCCTAGAGAGGAAATGGGGCGACTTTATGATGGCCAATGAAGAGACGGGCGGCACTACCAGAAGAAGTAGACGCCGAGCAAGAGATTTAGAAGCTCTGTATGACATGGACGAAGACCAGGAGTACGGTTATGGGCCAGCTGGATTGGCGCCATTGGGTGGAAGAAGACGACGAGCCAGAAGTGGCGGTTGTCTCGTCATGTGAAGGATTTCAACCTTTCACCCTCCTCTTCTTGATGAAGTATTTTCATTGCAGTGCTTATGGAGTATAACGGATATATACTGGAGACATCTTACGAGGAGTTCTTTTCTGATGTTTTTCTTGAGCGATGGGTCGTTTTTATCACTTTCCTTTTTCCCCCATTTCATATGACGGACGACCTATCTATCCACGAGCGAATATACTGCAGCAACATCTACGAAAGGGAGTACGGGAATACATTTTTTACTTTTTTTTTTTTNTTTTTTTTTTCACCTTCTTTTCACTCGGCAAATTGCAAGGAAAGCTCACTGGGTTTGCACGTTCCTTTATCCTTTGTTATTCCGTGCTTTTATCAAACGTGTATCCCTCCTTTATTTTCATTTTATTTCATTTTTTAGACTGGGCGGCGGAGTTACTTTTCTTTCTGACCAGAGAAACCGGAATCTTAACAATACAGGACTTCATAGGGTCTTTGTACCCAAAATTATATATGCGTCTATCTTTCACTCACAAGAGGGTATTAAGCAGTATATCCAATTCAATCATTTCTCGAAGAAACCACCGTCACTTTCATCATCTTCATCATCCCTTGCTTTGTCCATACGCTGATTCTCCCCACGCAGCGACACTCCGCCCTGGATTTCCTTGGTTGACATGGTCGAATAGCTTCCCTTTGCCTTGCTCTGACGAGAAGCCATATCACCCTCCTTAATTCCACCATTGGCTCCCTTCCTCTCCCCCGTAACTGTGATCCCCAATTTCCCTTCCCGCAGTAATTCCAACGTTCCATCTTTCATGCTTTGCTCCACAGCGTACCAGAGCGGCGGCCTCTCGCTCGACGCATATCGAATTGGAGCTAATTTCTGTCCGAGCGCGGATTTCTCCTGGTTTTCCTCTTCTCCATCTTCACCCTCTCCCTCTTGTTCCTCACCATCATCACCGTCCTTTTTATTCTTCTTCCGCCCTTCCTTATCCTTAGATTTGTCGCTGGGAAATAATGATATGTACTTCTCCGTTAGCGGGCTGTACTTGGCATAGTTTATATCTACTTCAGTAGAATATATTTGTTTCTCAAGTTCCGCCAGTTGATCAGCCCTCGACTTGGTTGTGGAATTCTTCTCGTTATCGTCGTTTTCCTCCGAATTTTCCAATTTCTCTTTCATCCGCCGTAATTTCTTCAAGTTCTGGGTGGCTGTTTTTCGCTCTATTATAAGCGGATAGTTAGCAAAGGCTGTTAGCTATGAGGGCCGCATAAATATAGCCAGCAAATTACCTAGAAACCGAGCGAAATGGTATTTCGATATCATCGCATTTCGAGCTCGGTTCTCCTCCACTTTCTCTAGATCTCTCTGGTATCCTTTTAAGGCCCTCTCTTTCTCAATCCTCACGTCCGCAGGTAGGGTCTTCGAATGCTCTAATAGCCGCTTGGTAGCTCGTATTTTGCTCTTGAGATCATTGACGGAGGGCCCTGAAGAACCCGCGGCATTATTTCTGGTGTTCCTCTTGTGATGTTTTGACCCATGGGCATTTTGCTGGTAGGTGTATCGTGCCTTTTTATATTTTTCATGAGGTTCCTCGCTACGGCTGCGTTTGCTGGAGGTAGAGCTCATGATTTCAGTGGGGGTGATATATATGTGGTACTCCAATGAGTGCAACGAGGGTAGATATGAGGAAGTTGACGGCCGCCTACTGAAATCAAAATATTACTTTTTTCTGCAGGTAGCGATTTTGATAAGGCGGAGTTTCTTTGAGCCTTAGGTACATTAACAATATTATGTAATATGCATAAGTTATTCTGGCCAATGAAATATTGGTAAATCTATAAGGTTTATTTATTTTCCAAAAGACTGCTTATATAAGCATCGCCTTCCGAGTCTTATCCTTAGAGAAAGAAGATCGTTGACTTTCAGACAGGCCAAAGGACGTCAACCCCAGGACGGACTGACTACTTTTGCACGATAATGGCCTTATAATCGCCATGGCCCTTAATCCCGGGTGAAATACGCCTAAGCCAATTTTCATCATATGCATTAATTTCCGATAGAGCCAAGATACCCCACACAGGATGGAGACCGCTGTCCGCTGGTCACCGAGTTCAACATTGGACGACCAGAGGTTTCTCTACGTCGATATACCCGGCAAGTCCTTCAATTTATGCAAGGTCACTTCTCGCGATGATGTCCTGGGGGCGTTGAAGTATGATGTTCTATCCTCCCGACACTCAGTCCCTCCATTTCGAGCATTTGACTGGTCATCAGCCGATGAGAACTTAGCCGTTGTAGGACAGTCGTCGGGGGAGGCAGCAGTTCTCCGCTTAGATGATGATACGCAGAGTCCTGTTGTTTTCCCCATACGAAATCAGAGATCTTGCAATGCTGTTGCATTCAATACACAGGGATTGCTAGCTGCTGGGCTCGACAAAGTTAGGAATGATTTCAGCCTGAATATATGGAATGTGAATCAGCGCCTTAGCTTGGGAAGCTCCGCTCGACCATTTGGATCCAGTCGGTATCCTACAGAACCTCTCCGGAAGCTTGCCAGCTCAGAACCAATTACAAGTATCAAGTTCTTCAAGGATCACCCAGAAACGCTAGTTGTTGGGGTTCGCGGCCAGTCAGTTAGGATATATGACCTACGAGGTATGTACATATTTCAACCCCTGCCCTTTTGTCAGAGTTACATCACTTTATTTTTGAATATAGTATCTAAACCTCGTCTGTTTCTAGAGTCATCTGGTAGCCCATCACTGCAGTTCATCACACGGTGTGTCCACAACATAGCCATAGATTGGCTAGACGAGAACTATATTGCTGCTTGTTTCCCTTCGAATGACGTCGCCATTAGCATATGGGATCGCCGTTCAGGATTTCGCTACCCCACAGCCGCAGGTGCCGCATCTGCTAGTGCGGATTCTGGTCCTCTTTCTACTGCATTGGACTTAAAACCAGATATAGAATCCAACTCTACAATCTCAAGTCTCCGATTTTGTCGATCAAAGCGGGGATGCTTAGGAATGCTTACCACAACCGGAACGTTTCGTTGCTATGATATTGCGAAGGAGTATCTTTCCGAGGAAAATAAATCATCCTTAGAACATGCCCTAGGGCAAGACTCGAGCAAACATTACCCCGAGCAAATATATACTAGGAAAGTGCAAGACTTCAGGCCCTCTATTCTCCCTTCTGGCGGTGCTGCAAAGAAAGACTGGCAACGGGTTACTTCCTTCGATTTTCTAAACAAAGGAGTGGTATCTCAACCGGTTGCAATAACTCTCTTGGCTGACAAGACTGTCAGCCTTTTTACTCCACCACCTCCGCCATCCTCCACAGATCTTTCTTCTAAGTGTTCTTTGAGTATAGGAGGTCCAGTTTGCAGTGACTCGAGCCCTATGGTTTTAAGGCCATCATCAGACTTAGGACTCACGGCATCACAAATTAATTTTGGAAAAACTCCTAATGTACTTTCGAGCGAAGAGGAACATAGCCACCAATCCACCTCGGATCACCAAATTGGCGAAACGGCTGAAACAAACCACGAAAAGCGAGATAGTGCATTTCCAACCGACGACACTCCCTCATTTGATGATGCACTGTCATGGCTAACCATACCCCGCTTGAGATGTAAAGAAGGATATCTGCTAGATAGCGAGAAAAATAAAGCTATAGTATCCGATAACCACTCTCTACAAGAGTTATGGGATTGGATTGGGCGTAAGTTGCCTGTCTACATTGAATTTTCTGTTTTACTAATAAAAACGATTAGGTGCACACTCGCGGTCAAAGAACGACTCGATGATCATACACGGAATTGACATGAATTATGTAGGCGTGTATAGTGTTTGGAATGGAAAGCTCGGTTTGTCCATCTAGCATACCCTAGATTCTTATTTTTGGCGATTATTGACGCCGTAAACAGGACGAAGCTTTGAAAGCAGACGTGATAGCTCAGAACTGGCTGAAGAACGAAGTATAAGCCAGCTTTTCCAAGAATTGGTACACAAGCTTAACTTCGCTCAAAGCAAAACCTGTGAATCCGAGTTTCCTGAAAAACGTCAGCTTTGCCTTCATATATGCGGCGCACCTGAGTCAAATGATGACCTTGTTAATACGGTGAATAAGCTCGTGGCAGAGAGGCAACATTCCAAAGCCGCTGCCTTAGCTATATTCCAAGATGAGGTGAAGTTAGCCTACAAGGCGCTAAGAGAGAATAAACCTACCCAAGCACACAAATTATTGGCAATGGCCATCATAGGAGGGTCAAAAGGGGACGCAGGGCCCGATTGGGAAGAGACATGTGCAGAAATCGCAGCTGAACTCACAGACCCTTATGCCAGGGCCATACTAGCCATGGTTGGCAATAGTGACTGGATGTCTGTATTGCAAGAAGCAACCCTTCCGCTCAAGTACCGTGTGGAAGTGGCATTGCGCTGGCTACCTGACGCCGAGCTCACGAGCTACTTGAGAGATGCCTCTGTGCAGGCTATACACCAGGGAGACGTTGAGGGTGTTCTGCTTACAGGACTTGATCATGCAGCGTTGGACTTGTTTCAATCATACATTAACAAGTTCAATGACGTGCAGACACCCGTCCTAGCGATGTGTCACACGGTTCCACGATTTATAAGAGATGCCCCGAGCAAGGCCCGGTTCGAGGCATGGCGCGAAACCTACCGACACCAAATGAACTCATGGAAACTACATCTGAACAGAGTAAAGTTCGATATCGAGTCGAGGAAACTTGCGATAACATGGGAATCACGCAGGCTCGTGGAACCACCTCTCCAACAAATTAGCCTCGTCTGTAACTACTGCACCCGCCCCCTTACACAACAGGACACTTCAAATTCTGAGGTTGCCACTACGCCCACTGAATATTCCCACGCAACCCCAGGGAACCCATTAGGTCACCCCTCCATGAATGGCACTGCATGCCCCAAATGCAACCGGCATATGCCTCGCTGCGGTATATGCTCGTTGTGGTTGGGGACCCCAGACCCGATGTCCAAAGCATCAATCGCAGAAGATTCGAAAAAGGCAGCATCGACTACTCAGAGCCACGATGATATTATGAGACGGTTTGTAGCGTTCTGTGTCAACTGTAACCATGGGTTTCATGCAGATCACGCGAGGGACTGGTTCAATAAGCATAAAATATGCCCTGTTGCGGAGTGTGGATGCATCTGTGATCGTTAATTTTGTCAAATGAAATATACTAGCTTTTGTGTAGTTTCTGCATAAGAACCGCTTTTACGTTCCAAATCTATAAACAGCTTGTGCTGAACTTCATTTGGATAGTACCATTTCTTGCCCCCAATCATCTACATCCCTACCATCGGCTCCCCCTGCTCTTCATACTCTCCCCCCCTTTATATTTCTTCTTCTCCAGTTCCCCTTTCTTATCAGCTAAGTAGATTATCCATATTTGTGTCCAAACAAATGCTTCATAAGATAGCTGCACATCTATACCTAAATGTTCGACATTTTCCCTTTATCTTCGAATTAAGCGGCGGCTTTGCGATTTATTTTCCCGTCTTGCCTCAAAATCCTCCAAACGGGCGAGTATCTGGACTAATATTAACTATGCTAGTTACCGCTTCACTTGATCTACGATGCAGCAGTCGCCTATCTCCAAGTCGATGAATGTTAATAAGGCACTACTACTCCTGGTTTGTTGAAACATGTCAGTTTTAGCGGTCATTTATTTGATACCAGTATGACGCCAAACGGCGCATTCTAATAGAAGAAGTTATGTATTTTTAGTATTCAATTGGTATTAGTAATATTAGTAATAGAAGCTAGGCTCTATTAGTTAAAGTATGGAGAGCCTCCCAATATCCTCTTTTTATACGGAGTATATATAGGGATATTACCTACCTTACATTACACCTATAAGATACCTTATGATATAGTCTTTAGAGCCATACTAGAGGTATTCTTATAGAAGAAATAGATATTAATATTAAATGCGATATCTTTTATAGATATTAGTAGATAGGTTATGGACGCGCTAATTATATAATTAAGCTAACCTTTTAGTAACCAATAAGAGCCTTATAATTGATTACTAAAAATACGCTAAAACTAACATGTTTCAACAAACCAGGCGATAGCGTTAACATCTAAAAGGCTCGTCAGATGACGGGTCACGTGTCTCACATTCTGCTACTTCTGCTTCTACTACCCCTCTCTCTCTTTATACTTAGTAACGAATAGTATAATTACGAATATATATATATACTATAATTTTTCTAGTTATTAAGCTCTTTTTATAGTTTATTTATTTCTCTTTACTAACTAACTATAATTCTAGTACTATTTTAAGCCCCCCTAAATTAAAAATCTATATAAGATAATATAGTATCTATAGTATTCCGTACCTTATAGGAAGCTACTATTTAAGTATTAGTAGACTATATTAAATCTCTAGAATAATAACTTTAGTAGTAGTGGATTCTAGTAGTAGTATCTTAATAAATACTTTAAGTTAAAATTATTAAGAAACTAAGTGAAGTTAAACTTAAGAAGCCTAATATATATAATAACTCTATGGATATTTAATTTTGGCTTATAAATATTAATAACTAACTATATAGATACTTAATTATTAAGGATATCTTCTAAATTATTTATATAATTGGTTACTTATCTTCTACTTTAAAATAGAAAGTTTAATATTTTTAACTTAAAAAAGACCGTTATATTATATTCTAGCTAATTTTTAAAATCTAGCTATAGAATAACTATATAATCCCTAACTCTACTTTAAATATAGAATTTAAATTTAAAAAGTTAAAAATATATTTTAAAGAATTTATTTTCTCTTTTATTATATAATTCAAGACTCTTATTATTAACCTTTTATAAAATAATTTAGTAATTTATTTAGTATTTTATTTAAAATTCTCTCTTTATTTACTAAATTAAATTATCTATATCTATTTTAATAGATAATTTAGATATAAGAATGGATAGGTTGAGTGAAACTTAAAGAGTTAGAAGTTTACTTATTATAGGCGCGGGTAAATTTATTTAAATAATAGATAAACTAAAGATAATATAAACTTTATCTACTTATCTATGTAGATTTTATTAAAAACCTTATTTAAGTCGGAAAAAGATAAATAATAAATTCTTTTAAATATAAAATTTACTTATATTATTAAGTACTTACTAAGTACTTATTAATTACTTACTAAATTTATATTACTAAGTATAAAAACTAAATAATATATAATATTAAACTTTATTATATTTATAATTATTATTATTTATTAAAATTTTTATATAAAAGAGTATTTATATTATTAATTTAGCTTAATATATACTATTTAATAATAAATATCTTTTAGATAAGGCCTTATTATAGAGAAATATAGTAATATTTAAATAATTATAAAAATAAAAAATATAATAAAATAATAATTTATTAAATAATTATCTATCATTATTATAATAGTAGCCTTTAAAGTATTTAAAAATAATATATATTTAATTATTTTTAGATTATGGAATATTAAAAAATATGTA